GGGCCTCACCCAGCCGCCTATCCAATGGGTACCGTGGGCTCTATCCTCGAGGGTAAAGCGGCCGGTGCGTCAAGCTGACTACTCACCTCCAGCTAGTGCCGAGGTCATCAAACGTGGGTCTATACATCCACTCCCCCATACGTCTTCATGGCATAGTGCTTAATTAGTTAATTACAGGGACATCTTTACCGTTTTACCTTTATTCAGCACACCTGTACAAAATTAATTCGGTTTTTCGAAATTATACCTGTATCTCAATTATATTAAAATATTCGTTTGAGAAATATACTGCTTTAAACTCAGGTTGTCAAAAAAACTTCGCTAGCCTGGACTGACACAGATTAGTCCACAAAAGTATTTTCCATAAGCTGCATTATGTCGAATTTCATCTGGAGAATTATCAGAACCTAAAAAGTAGCTAATGCTGGTCACGATAGCCGAGCGGTCTAAGGCATGTACTGTTTTCACTCACTCGGAAGCCGAGATCGTGGGTTCGAATCCCACACAACACATGAATGTTCTGTGTGTGTATGTGTTTGTGTTGTCCTGTGTTTAGGTAGAGGCCTTGCAACGAGCTGATCGCCCGTCAGAGGAGTCCTACCTTCTGTAAACTGATCATGAAACTAATAAACAGCCCTAAGCTCCAAAGTTGGCGTGAGAAGAAAGAAAAAGTAGCTAACGCCTCCCGAACGAGCTGTATTGGCCGTCAAAGTACCAAAATGAGTTAATAAGCGGTTTACATAGCCCGTTTAGCATTGTAAATCTGTCAAATTCAGTCGGTTACGATGGAATGTTCAACAAGAAATACAGGTGTACATATATTCCGAATTTTGATGGCAACCATCCGTCAAGAGGATACTATTAAAATGGTCCTATTAAAACTGGCATGAACTGTATGAGTTCGGTGTTGAAAGGTGGGGTTACATTCATTTATTCATTGTGGTATGATGTCCTTGTTGTTGTTGTATTTGTTACAGTTGTTTGTATTTCTCTGTAATTGTTGTAGTTGTTAATCGTATTTCGTTTGTATTCACTGTGGTAGGATGTCCTTATTGTTGTGTTTTGTGTATTGTGTTTTGTTTGAACGTGTTGTCAATAAGTGTAATGTGTGTTACTTGTCTGTTGTGTCCTATTGTGTACTACTGCCACATGGCTAAAACCCAATTGCAGTATAATAAATAATATATATATATACACACAAGTTGGGCGTGCTGAGAACATTCGGTGTTGCACTAGGTCCTCTAAAGATGTTAAGATGTGCCTACTGGTAAATTGGAATGGATTGTGTTGTTAGTATCTTTCTTTCACTCATCATGCTAAAGGGAGATTACATCTGTTCATAATGGGAAATGATCTGTGTATAGCTAATGTTAGACAGAGGTTGCAACGGAGTGGGCCACTTGCAATAAAAAGAGCCATTGTTATTAACAACCTACATAGTTGAAGAGCATAATCATTTCGCATTTGGGAAATTAAGTTTCAGCCACAATCCAGTTCACTGTCTTGTTTTACTTTCTGGGTTCTTTAACGACGCTCTCACTGTCGAGACTCTATAGCGTCGAGTTACTTTTTTATTGCTAGTGGGGTGGGACTAAGTCCCTTGTACTGCGGCCACTTCTGGCCTATTGTACCAGCCCCAGATGATAGGTGAGGGTGATTGTGCAGCAATTGGTGGAATGAAGATTAGCAGGGGAAACCGAAGTACTCGGAGAAAACCTGCCCCAGCGCCACTTTGTCCACCAAAAATCCCACATGACCAGATCCGGGCTCGAACCCGGGCCGTTGAGGTGGGAGGCCAGCGACTAACCGCTTGAGTTATGGCGCGGCCTTAAATAAGCTTACGGTACTAACATTAAGAGGCTTAAACCCGATGATTTACGAGTATCAGCAGGCTGCACTGCAACTTGCGTCCCTGTCTCTTCTAAGGCAGACGCTGAAGAACGGAAGGATAACACGACTGTATGTCCGTCTGCAGGAAACATCCTGTCATATAAGGAGTACGCGTACATCCACTCAATGCCGTGAAGTAGTTACGTTCATACAGCCATTCCAACGATACTGGTCCTTCCAGTCTCTTATCGATTTCAAATCAAATGTGTGCTGGGATAGCTATGCCATATAGCGATGGGTTACGGTCTGGACGGTAAGTGTTTGATTCCCGGCACAGGACACCACAAACACAGAATAAACGCATACGCACACCAAACATCCATGCCCTGAGTGGGATTCGAACCCAAGATCCCAGTGTCCGAGCGAGCGAAGACAGTTCATGCCTTAGACCGCGCGGCAAACTGTGACCGTCAGCATACCAGTAATGCCCACCCCATAAAATTGTCTAGCCATTCATAAACTTAATATCTTCCTGGTAAGAGCAATCTTAATGAAGGTTACTGAAATTCTCGGTTAATTTCGAGAAGAACTGTTTCGTAAGAAGGAGAGTCAGGGTTCGGTCCTCAGCTCGGATACCCGCTATCTCGACTGAGAGACTTAGCGCGTTTCCCTCTGCATCTCCAGATAAATGTAGGGGCAGTAACTTTAAATAGGCCACGATGGTTCTCTTCCACACAGACTACTATGTACATCGCTTGCAGTAATTCTGTTATTCGACGATTCACTGAAACTGAAATCATGTTTTGAAAGATTGTTCTTACCTCCGACAAAATACCGCATCTTCATTACAAATATTAGTCAGTTACTCATGTCTATAATCACCATTTATTCTGAGAACGAAAAGAACGCCATAACTAAATTGTGCGGGCGAAATGTAGAGCTATTTACCGAGCCGATTAGTTAGTACTGACGTACAAAGGATGCCCAGCGCAGTTAAAAAACCCAAGAATCAATCAGTTTAACGAATTTTATTTTAAAAACTACGTAATTCAAGTTTAAGGACACAAACATTCCACAAATGTTCGTTTCAAAATAATATATTTAATTTTTTTTTTCAAATACATGAAGTCATAACATCGGAGAGAATCCCAAAATTTTCGTAGCGTATGAAACGCGAAATATCTGCACCACGAGGAACCTAAACATCTACAGATATCTACAACATATTGGGCCTATTGTTAAGTTCTGATCTATGTGTTACAACACAATATTTATGGATAGTGACAAGGTGACAAGTCGTCTTTATCACGCTTGCATGCACACATAAAACTCTATTGATACTTGAAGTGCATGATCATACGGCCAGAAAGTTGTGCCGAGACAACAATTCGGAATGTCAGACTGAAATTAGTGTGTTAGCAGAGTGTTCAGATCTTTGGAGTGGTACCAGGTGCTATGAGAAACACCCACCACTGGGTGGCTTACTGGCTGGAAATTTTAAAAATCCAAATATATATTTCGATGAGTTCACATTTTATGAAACAAAATTTCATTAACTGGTGTCGCATCAAAATATGTTTATGTTATATTATCATACCGAAATTCAAGAAGTAACGGGCGAAAAATTCCACTTGGTGTTTCATAGAGTCTTATTTTTCAGTCTTACAATATTTTTTTTAACTGCCACTTTGGACACGCCCTTGAATTCGGATGTAACTTATGAAATTTTGTATCCAGAATCGCGAGGAAAACATTGAACGCGTGCGAGCCAACAGAGTTCACTTTGCGTCGAACGAAGTAATTAACAGTCATAACACTATTGCATTTAAATTAATATAATCGTCATTACATGAGATTTGAATTTGAGGTGATGTCTACGAAAATTAGACGTTTAAGATGTAACTGCTGCCTCTATCTTCAGGGTAGAGTTATATTTTCATTACGATTGACCAAGAAGTTTAAAACTTTAAGTTCTAAAAACACGTCTCAACTTCGAATCACAGGCTTTCTTGTTGATGGAAACGGAATATAGGGTGTTCTCTCCTTGAAAACAAAACGCTCCTGATTAATATTCCTTTTAGGAATATGCCATGTTTGGTTGTTTAACAACTCTTTTCTTAATTGCTTAATTCCTATAGCGTCGAACGTGAGGGCATGCCACATTTTCATTCCGATGTTACTAGAAGGAAAGAACTGCAATCAAGAAAGACAGCCTTCGAAACTTTTTTTCCCCGATGTAATTGCTTCAAGCGACTTCAATTTCACAACAGGATCTGTGCAATTTTAGTGACCAAGGTCCTTAGAAGCACGGGGAACATCTCTCAGGAAGATGGTGTGGAGGGTGCTGTGAACAATATTTGCCCTTGAGACACGGGAAGCAACAGGAGGCTGCAGAAAATGACATTGTGAGGAGCTTCATAATGTGCCCACCTGCATGGCGATCAGCGAACAGATCAGCTTCAGCGGTAACGCCTCTAACTTGTACAGCATGAAGGTGGTTCCCGGCTGAAATCTCGGTCAGGACAACAGACTATTCCGAATAGAGTTTTTCATAGTTCTCTTCGGTCCTAATGTCGGGCTAGTGCGTCAAATTGTACCATGACCACTTCCTTCCAGACTGTTAATTAACTAATTAATAGTTAATCCTACTACCATTCAACACTACATGGTCTGAGGTCGGAAAATCTGAAAAGATACTACCACTAGTAAATTGAGGCGAAGGTGGCCGAATAATATCAAACCGAATCTTCAAGTGGATGTGGTTTGCGTTCTTCAGTACCAGATGAGGGTAACAGCGGCGGACGCCTGTGAACACAGTAATGCACATCCGGGAACCACGAAAAGCGCCGAATTTAAAGACTAGCTGCGCGAATATTAGAATCTCGAGGATTGCCCTGTGGCGTCATATAGGAAGCCGAATTTGTTGGCGTCGTCTACACGGAACCTCTATATTCTACACCTTGTATAGTTAAGTTCGGATTTCCAGGGAAAAAAATTATTTTATCAATCGAAAGAAAGTTTACGTATACTTGACATTTCACGTGCACCCATTATCATAATCATTCAGTTTTGAACAAATATGAGAAGCTACTAATACAGATGTTAGACCTAAAATTGAGAAGCTGCTAATACAGATGTTAGACCTAAAATTAAAAATGAGTTAATTTTACCTGCAGCAACTGCAGGACACTGATGAAAAAGAGCAAAATGCATCCATGGCACATTGTCTTACACAATAACCTCCACACAATTCGGCACATGACAGCCGTTTCGCTCGCGTTTAGGCATTTAGGGCGCCACTCAGTTCCAACACATTATCGAATCACATTTACAAATCCACACGTGACACTCGTAAGAAAACAGTACATCTAAAACAGTTAATCATATAGAATGATAATAATCCTTCTGTGCCAATCACAATTATCACACACGAATTTAACCGTTTAAGTGTACTAAAATTATTAAAAATCCAATTAGCAATAGCGGTTTTTTAAAACTCGCTCCACAAAAACCACACCAAACACACCTCTCGCCTGCCACTGGACAACTAAGTGCTGGAAGCTGTGATGGTAGGAGTGGGGCGGCGGACCCCAGGCAATCTTCCTACCGCAGTTATGCGCATGTCCATAGGCCCGCTGGGCCAATGGGAAAGCCCTACCGTCGGACACGGGCAGCATCACACAGATACAGTCGGAACGCAATTGAAAATGGTCCAGCAAATTGTTGTGCTCAACCTGTGGTTCGTGATCGTGTTTACCTTTTTCAATACTAGAAACAAGAGATCTCGTTTCTGTGGCAGTATTCTGTCGTGCTCCCACTGTGTGTGTGTTATTTGATATTGTCAATGATAAGAAACGTGTACAGTCGAACAACTCGGTAGCAGAACTGGCTTCTCTGATCAACTTTTATTTGGTGTTCAATAAAATCAGTAAAAGAAATATCTCTTCCTTTTACCTATTTGTGAGTTGTCAACAGTTGAAATCATATTTTATCATGACAAATTCTCACTGTCTCATGGACTTGAGTCCTTCTTGAGAAGCTGCCAATTGTGCAGCTACTCAATAACTTCACAGCATTTTATGGAACATAAAGGTTCATAACCGTGTTCACAAGAGCCCTCCACTTGTCTTTATCCTGAGCCAGATCAATCCAATCCACCCATCCATTTTCTTTCGCTTAGGTCGCTTATCCAAGAAATCCGCCCAGGTCCTAGGCTTTTCGTGATCTTTCGTAACAAGCTTATTTTTTACAGTGAGGAATTATTAGCCGAAAATCTAAACCCCAAGCTGTAGGATCACCCCTTATCGGCTATCCGCGACTACTTATTCAATATATTCGCAGCTTCCCTCCAAAACTGGAGGCAGTTTCCTCCATCCGCAACCTGAGGACGAGCCATGCCGTGGTGACAAAGGACCCACCTAACATGGGACAATAAATTCTACTAACAGAAAATTATTTTTAATACAAACCCAACCGGGAACCAGCTAAAGTTGATGTCTAACATGGCGTACGAACTTCCCGTGCTGCATAATCCTTATGGGTTCTGAACGCTCAGGAAGCAAAATGACCCATGCTCAAGTATAATCACTTGAGAATAGTTACCTACTCTACTTCCGGTTATACGAGTTAAAATACAAACAGAATTTGCACACAATTGCATGTTTAGAAATAATTATTCAACTCGAACATAGTTTTCATAACTAAGTAATTATTTTCCAAAATCTCCTTAATGCAGACCAGTGCTGCCTTTCCTTCTTCTTAACTAATTCCTATACACATACCAATCGGGACGGTGTAACAGTGACACATTAGACTCATATTCACAATGTGCTCGGCTCGAATCTATGACAGGGACATCTGCTATTTAAATGAGGTTTCTCGTAGTTTTCTTCAGTCGCTCCATGAAAATTCCAGTATAGTACCTAGATTTGGCCGTGACTACTTCCTTTCGGATCCCGTCCAGTTCACCATTATTAATCATCCTAACATTTGGCGCTACGCAGTGTAGATACTGAGGTAAAAGCCAAAGTTATCCCTGTGCTTAACTAATTGAGCACTACGTCATGAAGGCGTATGGGGGAGTGGATGTATAGATATATATTTCCTTGACCGGATGTATAGATATATATTTCCTTGACCTCAGTACTAATTGGAGATGAGTGGTCAGATTCACGCCCCTGCCGCTTTACCCCCGGGGAAATAGCCCCCAGTACCCATTGGATAGGAGACTGGATGGACCCCACAGTCGGTCTTGACCCTACCGGGAATCGAACACCGACCCCTCGGCCTTCCAGTCCGTAGCCAGTCGCTATACCGACTGAGCTATCCCGGCTTCTCTAGATACTGAGATCACTGTAAAAGAATCGCCAGGAATATTATATAAACCACTCGTAGAGTCTTATATTTTCTGAGAAAAGTTGTTCTTCAGTGTTCTAATTGCTTCTCCGATACAAGATTAATCTGCAATAGAGATGTCGAGAGCTCCCAATTTATAGTAAAAGCATCGAGAACAATATTTCTATTTCGTTACGTGTTTTGTTCTCTTTTTCCTTTCTGGACGGCGTGACTTATAAACAGACAGGATGTATTGCAGAACACTAATTAAACGGCTTAAAGTGTTTCTAGGGAACATATTTCAGCCTTTCTGATTATCCTCTTCTTAAAGTAAATGTTAGGCCACAAATAACTAGCTCCGTTGAGCAAAGAAAAGCTGTTTGTCGCTCAGTTAGTCAGTTCCTCACCTATGGAAGACAAAGGTTCATTACTGTGTTCACAAGAACCGGCTATTTATTCCTATCCCGAATCAAATGTATCCTGACGACAATTTCATGTCCGATTCTTGGAAGATTCATTTCAATATTATCCTCAAATCTAAGTTCAGGTTCTCCAAGTGAAATGTTGCGTGCATTTCTCATTTATTTCCATTCGTGTTACGCATGTGTTACAACCAAAATTTTGCAAGAATTAGGATGACTTCATAATAAAATATTCAAACAAGATTGATTTTACTAACATCTACCCAGTAACTATATGTTTAGAAAAGAAATATATAGGCCTATAGCCTATTTATATAATTATAACAATTGTTTTAGTAATAACGATTACCAAGCATGTGCCGTTTAAATTTTAAATGTTATTATAACTGATTATATGGTATAAGATTCTCCTTGGGGAACGTAATTTACAGGTTACGTACGCCGATATTTGAGAAAACTTTTGCTGCTGTGGAGCACGTAATATTTTTATAGCACTACTGACTTAGATCCTGAGCTAGTTGCATCCATAAGCACTAAGAGTATCCATAATAGAACAGTCAACTTTGTTCCTGAATATGTTAATAAGAAATTATAGCGATCTTAATAATTTGGGGTTTAATGATAAGAATCACAGCAAATTCGCGACTGGTTTTCTACGGTATGGCGTTATCTATGAAAGCATGTTGTTTTAGTAGATCCGTACTGATTTTAAGCTTTCGCGGTGGTTAATTAGTGATATTATTTATTTCATTGCGTTGCTACAACGTGTGGTTTTTGGTTATGTTGATAACGTCTCGGAGGGACGTGCATCAATCTTTGGGGTCACATCCGAAACGTCGACAATATCGCCCATGATCACACGCTATAAAAACCAAATAATACAATTAATATATCTCAAAATGGTTAGGTTAAATCTGTAACGCGAAAGTTCTTCTGCTCTGAAGCCATTTCTTGTTTCTCCCTGTCCATTTCTTTCAAATTCCGAAGTAGTGAATTGGATATCTTCCAAGTTACGAAGAATTCGTCTTATATAATCGTTTTTAAGTTTCAGTTAACTCCAGTTGTACTTTACAGTTGATACAGTGTCATCAAGTAACATAAGTAACCTTCAAGCCAACAATTTTTATTTTCAAATTTAAATGTAAAGGGATATGATGCCTCGTTTGTACTGGAGTTTCCCGTTTCATTTAACAATATTTCGGGTAGCTCAGTCGACATAGTGACTAGACTGCACTCTATCCTGGAGAGGAGCAAAAGATTTTTTCTTCTCTGACTCCGACGCCCAACAAGTCCCCTGACACACTCGTAGAGCTGAGCCCTTCTTGAGAAGCCGCCAACTGTGCAGCTACTCAAGAACTTTGCAGCATTTTATGGAACCCAAAGGTTTTTTACCATGTTCAAAATAGCCCTCCGCTGGTCCCCATCCTGAGCCAGATCAATCCAATACATTCCATCCTATCTAAGAACCATTTTAATATTGTTCACCCACCTACGTCTTGGTCTTCCCAGCAGTCTCTTTCCATCTGCCTCTCCCAACAATATCCTATATGCATTCCTTTTCTCCTCCTTTCGTGCTATATGCCCTGTCCATCTCATCCTCCTTGACTTGAAACCAACTAGTCCCTTAGTCAGTTGTTAGAGAGAACAGTTTCCAGGCGTCTAAAGAGGTCGGAGCGTGAAACTGACCATTCAACTCCATCTTCTGGCGAGGTTAAAATTATGGAATTGTACCACCACTCACCCATACTTCTTTATGGCGCCGTGTGTATTTAAGTATGTGGACAATTTATATAGCTTAATCCTGGCAGAATGCGGGAACACATCCTGGCCGCCTTTTGCTACAGGAACTGAGACAAACCGTGAGAAAACTTAAGAATTACTTAACTGACCTCTAAGATGAGAATCGAAACCGTGACCTGACAAATAAGAATCCGGACTATTATTCACTCAACCGCGTTCTTTTTCAGTCGTTCCCATGAATGGTGACGGTAATTTTAAACTCCTCCTTGTAATAACACGGCTATTGAGTAAGAGTCTGTGATTGGAGCAATGTTCTAATGGCGGAACACGAGCCTTACCAATTATTAGTGCGTGTCCAGGTGTAGAAATCCGATATTCCTATGAAATGCGACATTTCGTTATGCGTTTGGTTCTGAACGTGTCTCACGTCCTGTGATGAGGGAATGTAAGTTGCATACGTAAACATGTAGGCCTGTATGTATCAAGGCTATTGTATGGCCGTAAGATTTAGTATGGATTCAGTTTCAGTAGAATTCAATTATTTTTATTTACAGATTGAATAACGCTTTTCTTTGTTTCATGAATTACAGTTTTGTTGATGCTATAATTGGGTGGATGAAATTCGGGGCCATGCATGTATTTCAAAGCTGTTCACAGAGAATGACGACAATTCTGCCGGACCTATTCATTATGTTAAAATTTTCCCGTATCGAATTCTTTAGCGGTCCCAAAAAATAAGATCAATGGGTTCTAGTTTTTCTTTAGTTTCTTGGGGTGGGGTGAGAATGAGTCCACTTGGTACGTCGACTACTAATTGGCCTATTGTACCAGCCCCGGATGATAGATGATGAGTATGGAGTAGTCGGTGGAATGAGAATTGTCAAGGGAAACCGAAGTACTCGGAGAAAACACGCAACAGTACCACTCTGTCTACCACAAATCCCATATAAACTGACCTGAGCTCGAACCAGGGGCGCCACGGTGGGACGCCGATGCCTAACCGCCTGGGCTATGGCGAGGCCTTCACTGGGTACT